GTAATGTTTTTCTATAATAATGTTTAATGTAGTTGATATTTCCATAATTATGTATTAATTTAATTTTTTTCAGAATATTTTAAAACTGATTTATGTTTGTTGATGTAATTTATTTTTTCAAAACTTTCATTTAATTGTGGTTTTTTTTTTTTTTTAAATAAAAATTTTCCTAATGGTACTTTCAATTCAAGCCTGGCCATTTTGAGTGGCGGCCTGGCGGGCCTAAATGTGTTGGGCTCATTTATGACCATTTTCCCCTTGGGGTGGGGTTTACTTAGAGAAATAGTGGGCTTCCTTATCACCACTCTTTATTTATTCATATTGATACAAAAAATAATCAATCAATTGAATGTTTTATTTTGATTTATTTTATAGTAATTTATGAATTAATGTCCACATAATTCAATCTTCACCATACATTATAAAGGGAGACAAAGTGAGTGTTTTTCTAACCCATGTTATTTTGTATTATACAAAGATAAGAAAGGTAAACTCTGAATAATATCGACCTTTTGATCTAAATTTATACGTGTATCAACTTATTAATACACATAATTTAAATTTAAGATTTGCACGATAATAAAATTTAAACGCGTGTCAAATTTTTCTTGATTTACTGTTCGTAACTTGAGGATTATTCTTTTATACACATATATTAACTATTAAGTATAAAGTTATTGTTTTTTTTTTTTTTTTTGTGTGTGTGTGTTACATATAATTTGTTTCTCTTGTAGGCGTTCACAACCTTGTTTAATTAATATCGATAAAAATGACGTGGTATAAACTTTATTACAAGGAAAAGCCTTTAACTATTATTCAACATCATACTAGTGTATTGCATTACATTATGATGATGTCGCGATTTGTACCAATGAGAAATACGTAGAATCCGTGGTAAATTCTATGAAGAAGTTTGTATGAAACTCATGATTTCAAAGCTGGATGGATAGATGAATAATAAATTAAATAATAGTATAAATAAAAGATTTTTAAAATGATTGAAATGTTTAATGCAAATCTTATGTCTAGCTCTTAGATTGTTTTCTGTATTTTTAACTGTACACAAATATAGAAAACACCTTTTTTATACAAAGAAAATTGATCGAAAAAACACCCTTTTTTTTTCTCTGTTTTTATGTGAATGTTTAAATTACGTTGGTGTGTAGATACAAGTATACAACCATATAGCCCCGAAAAAAGATCCTGTAAATTTGAATTGAGAAGATGACAAATGGTGGAGTGAAAAAGAGCGACGTTGAAATGTGGAGCCTTAGCCTATCATATCACTGAGCTTCTGCATGCATTTGTTTAAACTTATCTCATCTCATGACCTTTCCAAATGCCCATCTCCTCTTTTCAACGCGTGTCTTCTTCATGCAAGCTCTTAATTCTTATTTTAATATCTTCTCCACGTATAAACCCTAGCTAATTTGAACCTGCAGAGAGCTGCTCAAAATATAGATGAAATGTTATATCTGTTAACCAAGAAACCTGCTCAATTATTTATAAGCTAACTACAACTCTTCTTTGCACTCTTATATATATTCAGGTAAACCTTCATATATTTTTTTTGTGTTTATGGAAGCATTTTCTTTTTAAGATTTGCAGTCGAGAAAATTAATGTTGCCCATTTTGATATTGACTTAACATATGGAGTTTTTTTTTTTTTGATATTGTCTGTGTAATCGATGCAAATTTCTATATATTGGATAAAAAGATGAAGTCAAATTCTTGCTAGTAAGATATTACTCTCTTTGAATTTCTTCTGGTAATTGGTTTGTGAGTAGCCAAACAGATCAAGGTTGGGGTTTTTGTTTGTGTTTTCACAAAGCATTTATTATTGTGGTTGTTGAACGGGTAACATGGGATTTAATTAACTTTTTTCTTCTATGAAACTGTTAAATTAATCTTCATTATCTGTAATTTAGCTTAATGGATTCCAGATTTTCTTTATTCATTTCCTCATCTTTTGGTGAGCCACTGTTAGCTTGTAGAAATTTAAATTTTCTGGTTATCAGATCCAATGTTGATCTTCGTGTCGAGAGTCTCGAAGAAAATTTGGTATTGAATAATCCATATAATCTTCTACATTATTGATACCAGTTGTTCTTTCTAAAACTTTTGTTTGGAGAATCTTCATTAAGACATATGTTAAGATAGTAGTTTGTGTATTTTATTTAAACACTTGAGTTTTTTTAAATGATTATAGATGGAAGATCCATACTTGGCCTTGGAGGGGAGTATCCAAGAATACTCATCAGAGGAAAGCAGTGGTAAAGTGAGGTGGATCCTGAACAAGGGATTAGCAGTGGGAAAGAAGATTTTGGTGGCAGGTTTTGTGATATCTTCTGCACCTGTGGTAGTTCCTCCTCTTGTGATTATCTCCTTTCTCGGGTTCGCTTGTTCGGTCCCGTATGGACTCTTATTGGCAAGCCATGCTTGCACTGATAAGCTCATGAGTATGTTGCTTCCGGGGTCTAAACCTCCTCCATTTCTTTTGGATTACGTAAAAGTGTCGAACAATGATGAAGTTGTCCAGGTGGATGAATATGGTGAAGGAGAAGATTTGTGGCTTAAAGGAGGTATTGATATGGAGAAGGAAGAAGAAGAGATGTTGGAGGATACGAGGGAAACGATTGAGATGAGGATCGAGTTAGTTGAGAATGAGAATGAGAATGAGAATGATCATTATGTTGACGAAGTTGAGCATGGAGGTGTTGTTAGAGAAGATGAAAATGAGATAGAGGAGGAAAATGGATATGAAAAAGATGTTGGCGAGTATGAAGATGAAAATGAGGAAGAACCAACGAAATTAGAATTTGAGGTGAGAATGGAAGGAGTTGGAGAAGAGGAAGAAAAGGAGCCTGTGGTAGATGATGTGCTTGCTGTTGTTGTTGAGACTGAGGGAGATGAGAAAAGTGGTGGAACCATTGACGACGTCGCGGCGCCATTTGAAGTGACTGACATTGTTGTGGAATTGTGTCAGAACAATAAAAGTAATGAAGATGAGGAAATGGTGAAAGAGACAAGGGGATTACTTGAAAAAATCAGGGAGGAGGGTATGACTGATAGTGAAGAGAAGAACAAGCAGAGTGTAGAGAAACTATCCGGAGAAGCAGAGGAGGGACATCAGCAAGTTAATAGGAATGTTCAAGAGATGGGGATGCCAATGGAAGGCAGGATTGGCAATAAGCCTCTTGGAAATGTAGAAAATAACAACGATGAAATTCCGAAAGAAAGTTACAAGGTTCAAGAGACAGAGGATGTGCGAAATGCGGACGTAATTTCAAAAGAGGGGGACACAAAAGAAATGGTAGGAGGTTTATTAAAACCAATAGGCGAAAAGATTGAAACGACTGATGTTGGTAGCATCGAAAAAGAGGAGCAAAAACCAGTTTTAAACGAGCCTTCTATGTTGCAGAGAGAAGCAGATAACAATATTACTAAGGATGTAGAAAAAGATACTCAATTGAGTAGGGAGAAGGAAAATGTGATCTCCTCAAATGCAGATGTAAGAGAAATTGCCGATGAAAGCGGCCTTGAGTTGTTTGATAATAAAAATGGCGCTGCGGATTACAACACAGTCGGAGGTAAAGTTCTAGCTAGTGACTATTAGTTCAAATGAATAATTTCTTTTCAAAGAATTTGAATTTATGTATATGTACTTGATTGATGCTTCTGCAGAAAATGAACCCTCTTCAAGTATTTGTGCAAGTCCTGAGACAGTTGATTATATGGCGCTTCCTGTTTTTTCAGGGGAGCGTAAGAAGTGCAACGGGGCTGGAATTCGCCCACAAAAAGGCAGTTGTATGGCTTCCAGTAAGGTTAGAAAAATTCAAATGAATGATGAACTAAAATGAAATGCTATTATCAAATGCTTATAATATGACAGTGTGCACAAGCTATAAATTTAAGGCCCTAATTGATGAATTACTTGAGATCATCTCTTGCCTTTTGTCTTTCTTTCTTTCCCTTTAGCAATTGGAAATGTGCTTCATGTTCTAGAATGGGAACTGATTTGTGCGGCCTTTATATCCCTAAAAGTATTTCTCTGTATGTGCCTGACAGTCATTCTGGTAAACAGGACTTGACTTGAAGTGTTCTTAGCTCAACATTAATGTTTATATCATTTCTGGTTACCACGATTGCTTTCTTTTGTGTTTCAGGAGCTATACAGTGAGGAGAAAATCTGGGAACAAATCGACGCTATGCGCCGGATAGTCGGATACAAAGCAGCACCACAGGGGACATGCATTGAGGAGCTGAAGGCAATGTATTTGTTCACAGGAATCCAGCCACCAGCCTTGTTCAAGGACCCTTCTGATCTTGTTGAAGTTAATGAGAAGCTCAGGTTTCTCATGTCCATTGTTGGAGTCAAGTAGACTTAGGGGTTTTAATTAGATGTTTAATTAATTAAATTTTCTGGTTTTAACTTGATGCTTAAAATGCCAATAATATGAACATTGTTTGTGTTTNACATTGTTACAGCTCTGTTTCCCTTTCTTCATGTCAATCTATGTAGCACTTATCGTTTTTTATATTGTATAAGTTCCTCTCTGAGATTTTTATTTGCCCTATATTAAGAAGCCTTAAAGAATATGTTTGCAGGATTATGGTATTGATTTTGATGACCATGATCATCTCTCCAATGCATTCCAGTGTCGATGTGGCAGTAAGTTCTTCAGGAACATGAACGTTCAAGTAGTAAGTACTTCAGCATAAATTTGGTAGTTCTGTGTGAATTATTCATTCAGTTTTCTGTTGTTTATTCCTTATGAATGATAAAAACTTCTAGTTTGCATTGCCATTGTGTGACTGACTAGTTTGTATGTATTCACTTTCAGTTTCTGCAAGTTTGTATTTTTGCACTAGCTAGTTCGCACATGGTAATGCAAACTAGGTAGTTTGTATGAGAAAATACTACTAGATAGATCCATCTTGAATTTGGCTTCTAGTTCTAAGTTCTAAATAAGACCTCAGTAAGTAACCTTGTAAGTCCCATTTGGATTTGAATAATTCTATTTTTTCTTCCCCTTTGGCATTTTGGGCTAGATTTTGAATAGAATTGGGTGTGTCAGGTAATGCCTGCATGCTGTTTTTCTTGATCCAAATGAATCATCTTGTCCATGGAGGCAAAATCTTTGTCTACTAGCTAGGCAAGAGGCTGTTTCGGTGTGGAATTTGGATGAGTCCATTTGGTTGGGATGTTTGTATTCCGGAAAAAACATTCTATTCTTTGTTGTTGTATATTGTGGTTTGAACAAGATATGTAAGAGAGTTTGAGGGGTTGAATGACAAGTTAACGTCTTGTTGCTTGGTTTCAGTAACCCGTGATACTCCCAATAAAAGCACTGTTTTTTTCAGAGAGATTTAGCTTGCTGATATTCATCAATTAAGGTTTTCTGTGGTGCAGGGTCCAAATCCATGCTGAATACAAGATGAGCTGGCTTGTGGGGCATTCAATTGTAGAAATTTTAAAACGCTATAGAGTAGTCTCTTCCTTGATGAAGAGGATTTTAGTTTGGCTACACCACTGTCCTGTTGAATTTGCCAAATAGGATTATTAATGGAAGCTGGTGGGTAGTTCTTTTAAAATGGTTTTTTTGTGTAGGATTATGTTGACCATTTTTGGCCCATATATATTGGCGGTAGTCGCAAACTTGATCTGCAGGCATTTCTTCTTGATAAATACTCTGGGCAAAAGTATTTGTTAAGAAGAAATGCCTGCAAATCAAGTTTGCGACTACCGCCAATATATTGGTAAAACTAAATTTCCCAATACAAAAGGACAGTAGGTTTTTAAAACTAGAACAGGACAATGTTACAGGAAAATCAATCTTCTCTCGACTTGTGTTTTAGTTCAATTCTGTTCAGCTTGCAGTTGGAGCTAAATCCTATTGTTTCCAATTATTACGTTCAGGTTAAGTAGCAGAAAATAATATCTTGTTCAGTTAATAGTGAACAGAGATCACAGAAGGTTTGCAAACAACATAACCATGTAAGGCAAGTTTATGAACATCTATATATCTGTATAATTATGAAGTTTACTCTTGCTATTGATCATCATTTGGATTCTACGTAGAATGCCACTTAAGATCAAAGAATATTATTTGATCGTCACGTAGAATCTTAGGAGTTTTATTATAAGTTGTGCCAAGATGTGATTGGTTGATGGTTAGTGGATGTCAAATATAGATTAATTTTTAATTAATCTCTGATACGTTTCCTGGTCATCTTCTTCGTTACACGGCCCATCTCTCCAATTTCAGTCAACATCACTTTGTACCACCACCACTCACCAACGAACAGCCGCCTCTCCCCTCACTGTCTCTCCATTTTTTAATTTTCGTTAATTAATTTTTAATTTTAGCAATCAGCCATCAGCCTTCTTCAAGCTGTCGAATATAGATTGAAGAGGCAGCAGACAATGGGAATCAAACAAATCCCATCGCTCCAATTTGTAAGCTAAACCTCATGTTTTGCCGGATGACAGGACTCACCAAAGAACAGCCGCCTCTCCGCTCTGTATTCGCTTTTTATCGTCCTCTGTGTCTTCGTACTCCTCAGGTTCGTCGTCCTCTGACACGTCATCTTCATCCTACCGCCACGAAGTATTATCGTAAGGCCACGTCGTTTCCAAAACCCTGTCGTTTCGAGTCACCGCAAACACACGTATACATATATTATCGATCCATTACTACTTTCAACAATCCGGTCGAAACGAAACGAATCGAATCAGATCAGAGTTGGATCAACAAATCTATAAATGGAGAACTCAACACAACAAGAAACCAACACGAATTTAATCAATTCTTTCATGGAGATCCCATCATCCACTAAAGAAGAAGATCTTTTCTTCTTGGAGTCTCATCAGTGGGACCTTGACGCTGCCGTTTCAACTTTCGTAGATGAGCAGTATTATACTGGTGGTGAGAAGAGGTATATTGAATGCTTAGCCTGTAATTGTCTCTAATTTTCTCAAATTTTCTATTCTGTTTTTATTTTTGCGAAATCGGGGATTTGTTTGTTTAGGATTGTGGTTTAGCCAATCAATGTGGTTTGTTATCTATGTTTATATTGCTTAAAGAATGAGAATTGATGAGAATTTATTGATGGTTTATGTATTAGGTTACGTCTAAAGTCCAAGGCATAAACAAATATTTTCTGGTATATGTGTAACTTCTGGAAACAAAATTTTGCATTTTTTTCTTTTTTGTTTTTTGATGATATGAAATGCTTTGTTGATTGTTCTATGAATTGGGTTTGTCGTATGATTGATCAAGTCATGTTGACATTGATCTTAGATTTGGGATGGGATTGGCTTGATTTTGCTGAAAATCTGAAAAAACTCAATACTCAAATTATATCTTACCTGTAAGCATGTGCTGGGGTTTGTTTTGTTTACTGTTTGCTGATTTTTCTGTAACTTGGGTTTATTGAATGATTAACCGAATCAGGTTGCCATGGTTGTTTTAAGATGGGTTTGAGATGGGGTTGACCTTGGTTTGATCGGAAACTAAGAAAGTTTGATACCTTTGCTGCATCTTAGAAGAAACTAAAAGAACATGTTAAGTAAATCCAAAATCATTTATGTTTTCTTATGTATAGGAGTTGCCTTGGGAGATAGTTGGATCTCTCCAGAGGATTTTGCAGTAAGTTTGTTTGATACTTGTGGCCACTGGCCACGGATTTGGTTGGAAGAGGAATTGACATTGAGCGTGTTAATATTGTCATCAATTATGACATGCCAGATTCAGCTGATACTTATCTTCACAGGGTAGGCTCAATTTAAGTTTTCACTTGTTTGTGTCAAACAATTGTGTCTGAGCTTTCAGCTCATGCCATTGGCTGGATCTTGCAGGTTGGTAGAGCTGGTAGGTTTGGAACTAAGGGTCTTGCAATTACTTTTGTCTCCTCGGCATCCGATTCCAATATTCTTCATCAGGTTTCAAATCTATGTTGTGTTTTTAGTTTTTATCAAAAGCATTTACAGTTACTCATTTTTTGGTTATTGTTTAATATCTGTGTGTTCATATCTTAATTTTGTTGGTCAACTGACTGTAGGTTGAAGCAAGGTTTGAGGTGGATATAAATGAGCTTCCAGTGCAGATTGATACATCTACATACAGTATGTTTCATGCTGCTTAAGTTTAGATGTAGTGATTTAGCTTATATTTTATTTTGAAATCATGTTTGTTAGTTATAACGTCAAAGGGTAAAATTGTTTTTTTTTTTTTTTTTATGTAGTGCNCCTTTTAAATATTGAAATTTAATAAGTAAAATTGCAAAATAAAAAAAAAAATTATTAATCACAAGAATATAAAAATGTATAGGGTGTAGTGACTTACACAAATATTATCTCCAAGGCTATTATGACCACTAGTTTGTACCAAAGGGCCAGCGGAAACTTCATTGCAATTTAGACCCTTGTAAGCAACAAAAAGCTTATACAACTCTTGCTTGACAACCTCCAACTTTGTTGTTGCAACTGTTGGGTCATCAACTTTTTTGTAACAAAACTCAACAAACTCCAACTTGAAATGTGGGTCAAGAATAGCTGCAATAGCTAACACAATGCCCCAGTATTTATCAAACTTTACTTTAATTTATTTTGCCATGCTACTAACAACTTCATCCTCATTCTCCATCTCTTCTTATAAAACACACTTGAATTTTCCACACATTTACAAGGTACAAGTTTGCTGTGGGGCATTTGGAACCCAAAAAATAAATAGTAATTTCATAAAATGGTTTCAAGAACTTGCAAATCCTCACCCCCTTGTCCCATTCTTCATCTGAATGACAATTTTATAATTGGGATCTATCAATGACAAATGAACAAACACAAGACGATATATTAACGCACTTTCAAGCATTAAAAAAGTGAAATTCTATCTTGTCGGAACATCCATTACCAATCATTTTGAGCTTATCACACCAATTTGTTCAGTAAGTTCTCCAAACTTGATTCTTTTAGCCTTACTTCCTTTAACATATTTCACACTTTCTCAAATATTATGTAAAGCCGTACTACTAACTTTTAACCCTTCTTGGACTATGAGATTCAAGATATGTGCATTACATCGCACATGAAAAAAAGAATCACCACATAATAAAGCATTTTGCACACAAAGTTGACTCTTTAAAATGTTTTCCATCTTATCGTCATTACTTGCATTGTCCAAAGTAAGAGAGAAGACTTTTTTTTCAATTCCCCATTCTTTTAAGAAGCTATACACTATTTCTGACAAAAGAATCCTTGAGTGTAGAGGAGGAATATATCAAAAGTTGAGAATTTTACTTTGTAACACCCAATTCTCATTAACGTAATGAGCCATTAAAGAAATGTACCCGTCAGTCATACAAGAACTCCATATATCATAAGTCAAGCATAT